GCAGATTGTGAAATACTCAGACCGGCCCGTCTGGCACCAACAACCATGCCACGCTCAAAATTGCTTAAATCACCTTTCTTTCCCATTCTGACATTCAGTTTGGAGTTCAGGAGATTGTCTTAACCAGGACCACACCCTTAAATGCATTGAAGCAACTGCCATGTGATTGGTTGATCAGATAATTGCATTAATGACAAATTGAACAGGTGTTCCTAATAATCCTTTAGGTGAGTGTATAAGGGCTTTTCAAGCAGAGCGGGTGCGCGCAATCATCTCGGATGATTGAATCTAGCTAGACTAATCTACTCCTCTGGGTCGTCTGAAAAACCGACTTACCATGATGAGTTTCACGCCATTAACTTATCCAAGATGAGGCTTCTGATCTTGGATGATTTAAGCGACATACGGAAAATACCCCCTGCTCTGTGCACAGCCGTATATCGTGATGTGTTTATAGTTTGGAAGTATTGTACACTTAATGCTTCGCATGTGTGGAAATTTCAACATTTTCCAGTCCAAGTCACAAAACTCGAGTCCCCATTTCTGCTGGTACCCTTGTCAGCCACCACCACTAATTCTGTGAAAAACACTGGGTGTAAATTAAGGGCATGATGGTTCTGAAACCGAGACTTAAGACCGTGATACAAACGTTCACAATCTCCTTTTGCGTTTCTGGAAGACGGAACCACGATATCCCCCCAACCTCAATTAACCAGTTTCTGCAGGTGCAGCTTGTTAAACTCTCACTACGTTACTAATGTTACAAAAAACATTTTCAGTTCACAATTAACACTGTAAGACATGTCAAATATAAAATTATTTGTTGTATTTAAAGTTACAGAAAGCTGGATATTTTGGAAATATTACACGTACACTAGGGATGCAATGGTACACTTCTTTGTCGTGTATTGTCACTATTTCACATGTATTTCTGTATTTTCAAATTACTTGCATTTTAATTAAATACACTTTATCACACCAGTATTTTGTTACATTTGATTTGTAACAAGATACTTTTTGATGCATTCTGCCTGGTACTTAGACATTTCATCGAATTTGCAGCAGTCATAATTATAAACGCGCGGCCAGACACGTGGCATCATACCAATATTTACACCAAAAACATCTGGATGTGCACCCACATCTGCCCTTCATCATAGCCTTACATTGGCGCCGGCCAGCTTCGGAAGCGAGCAGTGGGCTCCGGCGACCCGGCCAGCAACAACAAGCGGCTCGAGGGCTAGTGCTAGTGTTACCTCCGGATATGAACACCTCTCCGAGTCGCTACCGCCCAGCACTGCCGACGCCTCGTTCTCCAATTCCTCGTCTTCCTCCAGTACGTCTACAAGAGAGACAGTCGCCTCGTCCCCTTCGTTTACCGCCATGCTTAAAAAGATAGAAAAAAATAAGACTCACTTCCTTTTCCAGGGCAAACGGCAGGGGTGGTGGGGAGGACGGGCTACCGTATTCACTGGTAATGCATAGTGTGCACCTTTTTCATTAGAATGAAGATTATTGAGGAACAGACAAAGGAGAGCTCTAAACGGTTATTTCTTGGTGCTAGCTGAAATAAAACATGAAATCGTTTCTAGGGCAGGCAAAATATTTGGACTAATTCAGGGGCATTTCAAGTATTTGAAAAGATCGGGGGCTAAGTCAAGTTTACCCGCAGTTTGACTTTTTTTTTGAAGGAAGATTGGCATCGGGACTAAAATACTCGGGGCTATAGACCCAAGTGGTAAGACCTAACGACTCCCATGGACTAATTTCCTACTAAAATATTATGTAGGAATCGCAGACAAATACCAGTACGTATTTTCAGGCTAGCCAATTTAAATCATAATCTAGCGCCCCGGTTTGTTAGTCGCATGTAGTTCTGAAAGTGGGCACATACCCTCCTACAGCCCCGCCGCCAGATCCGTATTAGGCTCGTGACGTCATTACGTCGGAAGTCACGTGTGGAATACTGGTAGAGTATGGCTGCGCCAGAGCTGCGTGGGGAATTGAAATATCGAGATGGTGACAGCCGGGAATTCGTCGTTAAGACAGAGAAAAGCCTCCAATCTGTTTTATCTGGGATTCGCACGTTAAGTGCCGATGTGTCAGAAGCCTTGACGGAGTTGGTGTCTCAGGACGGAGGAACTGCGGGAAACGGCGTGGACCAGCTTAACGCCGATGGTATGTCTCCGTCGTTAATGTGCGGCCGATAGCGCTTCGACGGTGTCTGTTGAATATTAAAACTTGTCATATAACTGCTACGGATGTTATTACGCGGGTCCTGCCTGAAGTATTAAAATCTTGAGGTGTTCTTTGCGTGTTTGAGACGTTGGGGTTGATACGGCCATTGATGATGCGAATCTTTGGAGCTGCGTTTTAAATATAATTCATACTGAATTATGAAATACAGAAGATTTTACCAGTATTTTCTATCGCACTAAATAACGGAGGGCGTCTGCAGCTGCACGTTCCGTGCGTACCCTTGGCATTTGGACTAATCATTCGGCTAACGTAACATTTTTTAAAAACATAAAAACAGTAGTGTTGCACAGTTCAGGGTAAAATTTGATTCGCGTTTTCCCCCTCAATCGAGACCGCGGGAGGCTGTGCCAGTGTCAATGATCAATTTCAGGTAAGTAAAGTATACAGTATTTTACTGTAAGTATACAGTAAAATAGCTTCAAACTCCGGACATAATAAGTGTAATAGTTGATGAATCGCATGGTATTGCGCTTTTTAACAGACGTATTGTCATTCACAAGATAGTTTGTCGTTATTTGGGCTGAAAATGCATTGTTCGTATAGTATGTCTTAATGAAAAAATACCAGATTCAGAGGTCATTATTATTTACTATACAGCAAAATGTATTACTATGTAATCGCCAGCGCTGTCATAATGGTGCTTATCTCTGCTATCCTCATTGTGCATAGTTAATTACTTATCTGCCTTTATGTCCCAGAAATGTTGGTACTTATGTGTACTAAAAACCTAGTTGAATAGATGTTTTCTGCGCCTGCCACATCATTTGGTCATAAAAAATATTATAGGATTTAGTCACTAAATACATTTAAAGCAATTTTGAGCTTGATGGTATTTGAAGTGCAATTGTCTTAGGCTTTATTGTATATTCAACTTGTTTTTTGTCTTGATGTGTTTTTTATTGTTGTGTTGTGTTTTCCTTTTTACCTATGAGTTTTTAATGTAATAGACTAAACTGGCTAATAATTATTCACCTAAATGAAGTATTTTTTACAAGGTGCATCAGAAAGAAAACTTCAAAACCAGCCAGAAACTTTGTTCTTCATGTTTTCTTTTTTGACAGATGAGGAAGGAGATGAGGGTGATGAAGAAGAGGAGGACCAATCAAAGACTAGACAGAAAGGGACAAGCAGAGGGCCTCCAGCCAAGCGCACAAAGACACTTAAGGCATAGAGTCTCCTGTTCTGTGGTGTGTGCCTGAAAAAGAAGTTGGCCACCTTTGGGACTGTCTGATTGGTATATGCAATAAGATGGGAAAAGCCCCCCTACCCCTTACTGGATAGGGGGCTCCATATTCCACCAAGAATGTCAGCCTTCAACATCAGCTGCTTCGTTTTGATCTCATTCATCAAAAGTGTGACATTTGTGCTTTTTTATGTATTGACTCATTTGTTTTGCTGCCAAGGAGAGCAGGAAGTATTAAGGGATATATGTACATTTGTCCACATGGTTTACAGTGTGTGTGTATAATCTTCAGGAAACTTCTATGGACATTCTCTTGCCCTTAATACATTTTATTTCTGCAGATTGTAACTTTTATTTCAGCATCATTATTAAATGATCTAAAGTGCATTTTCTTTTAAAAGCCGAAAAGACATACAGCAACATTTCCCCTTTGTTAAAAAAGGTGTGTGTGTGTGTCAAGACAAGCCCTTTTCTACTGAGTGAGCACTACAGCCTCAAAAAAAAAAAAAACCCACTAAAAACAGCCTTTTCCATTCTGCATATAAAGAGAACATCAATACAGGGTTCATTTCTGTGACATCGGGCCTTTGGTGTACATCTGTACTGTGTTTTCTTCCCAGGGCTGCTGGACAGTGGTGAAAAAGACAGATACACATTTTTACAAAGAGCTATAAACACAGGTAATACTTATTAACAAAGTGCATTTGAATGTTAAACATGGCTGTTCCATTTATAAATCTGAAGTTTCACTGTCTCCTGCACAGTGGACACATAGAACTTCCTCTGGTTTCCTCATGAAAAATCATAGCCTGTACATACATAATAATGAGGGAATACAAGGGTTGACATCAAGTCAAAATTGAACTGCCAGTATAAACGTGAGTGAATTGTTCCCACCTGATATGGTTGGAAGCAAACATTGTTAATTTAAATCACTGTCAAAAATATGAAAGTACTCAATGGAAATCAAGTCAGCATACTCAGAATGCCTTAATTTTAGAATGATCCTAGAAGTTCATGTGACCTATATTATTTGGTCCGCAGACTCAGTTATAAACCATTCTGTAATTCACTACAGTAAAAAAGCAGAATGTAGTAAAGTTTCCTGATTTCCAATACTAATACTAATAATGCCATTGATTCTAGAAAGCCATATTTAGGGTAGATCTTCAAATCTAACATAGCAGTTAAGTGTGCTGATGACCTTTTGAAAGAAATTAGCATTATGTGCAAAAAGACATAAGCTCATGAGAATTGATACTGTACTTTCAGTTAAAGAAAAGTGACAAACAGGAAAATGCCACCAGATCCCAGAAACAAATAAATAAAATCAAAAGAGATCCAGCAGCTAAATGCTACTTGGACTCAACTCATAAATAGGTGTAAAGAAATATGTACCACTTTCCCTACACTGGTTCACTGTGGGGATGAACACAAATACCCCATTTGTAGTAAAGATAGAAACAAACATGGCATATATTACTCTTCAGCACACCATATAGGATCCACACTGCAATGCAGTTGCCAGGTGCTGGTTGCTACTTCGCTACAACACTCTTAAGCTGTACTAGCACAGGGTTACTGCTGTAAGGATCGCCAGCTACCATGGTAAAAAAAAAAAAAGAATTACGGCATTATGCATATTGTAATACTCCCACAAAAAAAATGTAATGGAAGGACAGAGAGCAGCCACCATGCAAAATGAGATGACCCAATGAGCTACCTGAAACACATGGCTTTGTACCAGCCCATTTGTCAATCAAAGACATCCTGGAGGTTGAATCTGATTGTTCCCGTTAAGTGTCAATCAGCTGCAGGTGGCTGATCTGATTGGACGCCTTTTCAAACGTCTGGTGACGACTACAGAGAATTGCCAAACAGATGGGGAGGATGCAGTAACCGATGGTTTTGGGGTCCGTACGGGTGCAGGAGTAGAGGAAGAGGAACACCTGGAGGTATGGGATAAGTAAGAGGGTAGCCCATACCCAAAAAGGAAAGGACAGCAGCCGCACGTTTAACCAGTGAGTCCATGCGGGTGACGCTGAGGACGGCTCGCCAGGTGGCGCAGCCTTCCCAGGCGACTGTTCCACCATGTCTATTGTTAGCCGGTTGTACTTCTGGTTGATTTCGAAAACATAGTAGAAAGCAGCCGCACTAGCCAGCAGATATAGTCCCACGCTTATCCATCCCATCCGCTGACGGAAGTTCATCATTCTCCATAGTCATTCCTGGAAAAGAATTTAGGGTCGATGCAAGAATGCAAAATTCATCTTCTGCATTTTGCTTTACCAGGGTAGTTGGCATTAAGATTGAGGCTACATCTCAAACGACATCAGTGTACAGGCCGTTCTCTAGAAACTGAAGAATGCCTGAGTAATCACAGCAAATGAATCTCGGAGTGACCCACGAACCCGTTAGAATTAACCTCGCTTCCTCCCCCTCACCTTTCTAAATTCATTGATCCATCCGACCGTCTATGTGCTCTTGTTTCCGTGTCTCCGAATGTTCGACCAACAACTGAACCACATAAACGTTCTGTCATACGTGCCCCTCACAGGCACAGGCAGCCTGTCACATGACCGCTTACGCTTTATCCAATAGGAGCACCCTCGTTTGCTCGTTGTTTTTTTGTACCAATACTTTGACATAAAGTGCAGCGCCACTTAATGGTCGGAGTTGGAAGTGGGGGACTGAAATCGGGATCGTGTTGTACTGAACTGCAATATGATGAGGGGTTCAAGCAGCGTTAGCTGCTAGATCCTTGTTTTCGTATTTATTATTTTGTATATCATTATTTTTTTAATCGTAGAGAAGCGATATGTGAGGAATTATGGTTTTGCTTTTTCATTACTGTTCTGCACAGCGAATGTTTCATTTAATTTGTTATTAACGTGTGCAATGTTTTCAGTAGATCGTTTTTTTTTGGATTGTCGTTGTTATATGTAGTTGTTGCATTGTTGCACAAATATCTAGCAGATTTTAAGTATGCTATTATACACTCACCTAAAGGATTATTAGGAACACCTGTTCAATTTCTCATTAATGCAATTATCTAATCAACCAATCACATGGCAGTTGCTTCAATGCATTTAGGGGTGTGGTCCTGGTCAAGACAATCTCCTGAACTCCAAACTGAATGTAAGAATGGGAAAGAAAGGTGATTTAAGCAATTTTGAGCGTGGCATGGTTGTTGGTGCCAGACGGGCCGGTCTGAGTATTTCACAATTTGCTCAGTTACTGGGATTTTCACGCACAACCATTTCTAGGGTTTACAAAGAATGGTGTGCAAAGGGAAAAACATCCAGTATGCAGCAGTCCTGTGGGCGAAAATGCCTTGTTGATGCTAGAGGTCAGAGGAGAATGGGCCGACTGATTCAAGCTGATAGAAGAGCAACTTTGACTGAAATAACCACTCGTTACAACCGAGGTACAGTATGCAGCAAAGCATTTTTAAAGCCACAACAGCACAACCTTGAGGCGGATGGGCTACAACAGCAGAAGACCCCACCGGGTACCACTCATCTCCACTACAAATAGGAAAAAGAGGCTACAATTTGCACGAGCTCACCAAAATTGGACAGTTGAAGACTGGAAAAATGTTGCCTGGTCTGATGAGTATCGATTTCTGTTGAGACATTCAAATGGTAGAGTCAGAATTTGGCGTAAACAGAATGAGAACATGGATCCATCATGCCTTGTTACCACTGTGCAGGCTGGTGGTGGTGGTGTAATGGTGTGGGGGATGTTTTCTTGGCACACTTTAGGCCCCTTCGTGCCAATTGGGCATCGTTTAAATGCCACGGCCTACCTGAGCATTGTTTCTGACCATGTCCATCCCTTTATGACCACCATGTACCCATCCTCTGATGGCTACTTCCAGCAGGATAATGCACCATGTCACAAAGCTCGAATCATTTCAAATTGGTTTCTTGAACATGACAATGAGTCTGACCCCCACAGTCACCAGATCTCAACCCAATAGAGCATCTTTGGGATGTGGTGGAACGGGAGCTTTGGGACCTGGATGTGCATCCCACAACTCTCCATCAACTGCAAGATGCTATCCTATCAATATGGGCCAACACTTCTAAAGAATGCTTTCAGCACCTTGTTGAATCAATGCCACGTAGAATTAAGGCAATTCTGAAGGCGAAAGGGGGTCAAACACCTTATTAGTATGGTGTTCCTAATAATCCTTTAGGTGAGTGTATAACGTGAATCTCCAAATGCCAGAAATGCGTCGCGAGATGGCGCAATTGAATTAGACCTACTTAGGCTGGTAGTACAGTATATCAAATACGGAAGAAATGATTAGCTGATCGGTACAATGTTTATGGTAGGTCATAACCATAAATACAATAAACTAGTTTGTTAATTTGTTTTAATATTGTACATATGTAATGCTTATTAAATCAAGACATGGTCAAATTAAACACTATATTGAGAGGATTTCTCATTTCCCAATGTCAAAATGCAATTGAGCGTACGTTTCTATCTGATAGAAGTGCTGTATTCTGACGTGTTAACGTTATTTATGAGTACTCAATAAAACACATTTAGGAATCTGATTAGAATGGGCATGCTACTTGAAATACTCAAATATATATAGGTCTACTAGGTCAATTATTCATCAACGTGGTGTTTAGAGTGCACAACAGAACCAGACTTTCAAATCATATAACATGCTTTTAAAATAAAGCTTTCGATTAATCCTTAATTTTAGTGCATTTTCCTGTACACAAAGATTGAAGCAATACAAAAATGTTAACTATGTGCTGTATTGTTTGGAGCTAGAATGTAACAATGTTGTTTATATCCAGCAATGGGCAGCACAAGACTATTATACCAAGGGTCTAATGCTGGAGACATCGGGCCTCATTCACCAATATCTTCTTAATAATTCTCTGAAATTTGTTCCTACAAAACTTAAGAACAACCTATGTCAGATTCATGATGAATCCCACGTCTTTGTAACTGAAAGCGTGTGCCAATTTGTTCTAATTAGCATAGGGAAACGCCCCACAATTTCCCATAAAAGGGCATGAGTCTGTAGGGCCTTGTGCAAGGAATGGCGAAGAGACACGCTGGCTGTGGGCCACTTAGCACTAAGAGGAAAAAAAAACTTCAGTAATGCTGAAGTAGAAGTATTAATACAGGACGTAAATGCAAATCAATCAATCAATCAATCCTCTTCGTCCCTTGTGGGACAAAAGGCTTCAATGAGCTCTCTCCATTGCATGTGGTCCTTTGCAGCATGTTGTGCTTCTCCCCATGACAGGTTCATCTTTTGAAGCTCCTGTACCACAGTTCTACGGCAGGTGTTTTTGGATTTTACAGATTTTCTTTTTTCAGGTGGTGTCCATCTTAAGGCAACTCTTGGGATGTGGTTTTGCTCCATCCTTAACACATGTCCAATACATCTTAAGCGTCTTAATGTAATGTCCTTGGTGATGCTTTGACTGCTTGTTTTCTTGTACAGTATAGTTGTTGGTTGGATATTTTGTTGGGCCAAAAGATCTGGCAGATTCGTCTGAGGCATCTGTTGTGGAAGACCTCATTGCTGTTGTACAGGAGCATCTTTGTTTTTAGGCTGTATTGATTAGACTTCCAGATGGAACGGAGTTGGGAAAAGGCACCCTGAGCCTTTCCCAAGCTTGCTCTAATGTCTTTATGGACAGCGCTGTCCTTGCTGATAAGGCTGCCTAGTTAAGTGAAGTCCTCCACAAACTCAAGTGGTGTTCCATTCACCTGGATGGGTGCTGTGCGGTTGGAGTTTATGCACATCACTTGGGTTTTGGAGGTGTTTATGTTAAGTCCAGCCTGTCTGGCATATTTGTTGAGCCTGTCAGTTTTCGATTGCATGTTGGAGTGGTTTGTTGAAAGGAGAGCAAGGTCGTCTGCAAAGTCATGGTCTTCCAACTGAGAGAACAGGGTCCATTGGATGCCTCTGGGTTTGTGTCTTGTTGTGTTGGTTGTGATCCAGTCTATTGCAAGTAGGAAGAGGATGGGAGAGATGATGCACCCTTGTCTCACTCCGGACTGTGCAGGGAACCATTCAGTGAGAATGTTGCCCATAAGGACACTGCACTCAAATTTTTCATAGAAGATTTTTATGATTGTAATTATCTTAGGTGGGATTCCATTGTACTGGAGTATCTTCCAAAGAGTGTTACGATGGACACTATCAAATGCCTTCTTGAAATCAACAAACTTGATGTATAGGGGTGTGTTCCATTCTAAGCACTGCTTTAGGATGTTCCGCAGTGCAAAAGTCTGGTCCATACATCCTCTTCCTTTACTGAAGCCTGCTTGTTCTTGTCTGAGCCTGGGGTCAATGGTTGGCTCCATTCTGTTATGGAGGACTCTGCAGAACACTTTGCTTGGGAAGGACAGAAAGGTGATTCCTCTCCAGTTGTCACAGTTTTTGGTGTTGCCTTTCTTTGGGATTTTGACTATGAGGCCTTCTATACCAGTCTTTGGGGATGGTATCATTGTTCCAGATGTTTTGGAAGAGATCAGTAAGGACTTTAGTTGATGTTAAAATGTCAGCCTTTAGCATCTCCACATGGATTGCATCCATGCCACATGCCTTGCCCCTCTTTAGGGATAGGATGGCAGTTTTGACCTCGGAAAGGTCAGGGGGGTTGATGTTGATATCCAGAATGTAGTCTGTTGTTGTGTTTTGGCAAATAAATGTATGACGTCTCCTGGGGAGTCTGGGGGTCCACCAGTGGCATCATTAACAATCTCCTAATGAAGCAATTCATTTAACCTGAATGATGAAAATTGTGTGGCCAACTGATTTTGATAGCAAGGTCAATGCACAGAATCAGACCTATTTATAATCCACGATTGCCGTTACTACCATGAAAATAATTTTCACACTTTAAAATTTATTTTTCATATTTTACTTTTATAAATTATTCATACTATCATTTTATCAACTGTAGAATGAACAAAACTGCTATAACCAATTATTTTGTACCAACTATCATTACTTGAATGTGCATACGAATGGTCTTGAGTGTGCGTAGATTTTGTTCTTAGCTAAGAACAAATTCAGATAAGAAAACATTGGTGAAGAATCTTCGTAAAAAAGTATGTACGTGGGGTTTAAGAACAAATTTGTTCGTAAGAACGGTTGGTGAATGAGGCCCATTGTAAATCACCTGTAAATCACGTGACGTACAGCAATCACCTGTTGTTGCAGGACCATTCTTCACACCTCTCTTGCTGGTGGTTAAAATCCTGCCTCCACTCTATGCTGTTTACATATTCTGCCCCCTGCACGTTTCCTCTGGAGGTTTACTCCTGCAGTTCACATGTAAATAAGTATTCAGGCATCACAATATTTTAGATTATTTTAGCCATCCCGAATAGGCTATATACAGTTGCAAGAAAAAGTATGTGAACCCTTTGGGATTATGTGGAGTTTTGCATGAATTGGTCATAAAATGTGCTCTGATCTTCATCTAAGTCACAACAATAGAAAAACACAGTCTGCTTAAAACAATACTACACAAACATTATATGTTTTCATGTTTTTATTGAACATAACATGTAAACATTCACAGTGCAGGGTGTAAAAAGTATGTGAACCTTT